AAAAAAAAAAATGGCTAGTCCCAGAGGTACATCTGTCCGTAGAGCTACAGCAAACCTCGATCGATTATTTATGTTTTGTGGGAGACGCTTAAAAAGAACAAGACGCTACATACACAACGATACAAATATATCCCAGCTGCGTCAACTAAATACACCTAACTATTCAACAGACGAGGCAAAATCGCTTCCTGCCTATTGAAACCTAGTAGAAAGTTGAATGGAGGATAATACTCACTCCAACGAATCATTATTACGTTGTCCGATAACTAAAAAATATTAGGGAACAATGAGTAAATTAATTAGCAGACCGAAGAAACGTGCCGTAACTTAATTTTTTTTATTAAAATTTGAACAATATAATGCGTTTTCTTGCCAAAAATTTCCCTATATAATTGATTCTACACTATCAAAGGAACTTATTACATATATATATATATATATATTTGGTTTTGAAACAGGTGTCAACTGCTGTGCGTTGATAACACGGACATCCTAGAGGTAACATACAGTTTTTCTTTAATTTTGCGAGACCAAGGGTGATATACCATAATAATTTATTTATTCGTCTATTTATTAAATACTGTTTAAATTAAATCGGAAAGCGTTTTTTCATCGTGGGTTCATAGTATCTGTACGAGGATATTTGTAAATTTATGTGTCCTATTATAGATAAACCAAAACTTTACTTAGGTTGAGTATTTGCTCTTAACTTAATTGCGTCACGAATTAGATAAGTGCTTATCATATTAATTAGGACATCGTGGAGTAACTACCTTCTGTCTATACGCAGGAAGTTCTTTGATGAAGCCGGGCTTAGGTCACCTCCTTTGACGCTAGGGCTTCTACATTCACAATCTGACAGAGTACTTCGGGCAAATTGACGATATAGACAACTCAGGAGTTAATTGTTATTACTGTCATTATTGATTTTCCCGCAGAAGAGTCAAAATCCAAGATTTGTTTCTATATGTAACAATCTAAGTTCATCGACGTTAATCTAAATCCGGTCTATGTTTGGACATCGCAGTGAACGACTTGCCTGTAGTGACAACTACATATTGTCTATGAACTTCTGCGATTTACTAGGCAAGGACCTTCATGAAGAACGATTGCCGATTGACTGGTCAATATTTTGTACAGTGATGGGTCATCAAAGGGGAAGTAGGATTTTTTGGTGACGACGTTGTTAATTGTTCAAAGATCATCACGCTCTTGACGTAGTGTCGCCGAAACCGAACAGGAAACGTTTGTGATACGTAATACATTACTCAGACGAAACGTGTGTCTTGTAAGCGAAAACCATGACCAGCACTAGACGACTGCTGCAACTATTTTTTGCGCCATCACCAGCAAATTAGCAAAAAGGAAAAAAATAACGAATGACTATCTAGAAGAACGAAGTAGCCCAAGCGATCACCAGTCAAAGGAAGAGATAAATGAAACATTGGGCGTATTCCAGTACTCGAAATTCCACTACGAAAACAATTTCACCGATAGATTGCTATCATCTTTTTTTTTTTAATACTGTTATAACTATACTATAAGAAAAAAAAGACTAATTTTAACCAATATAGACGACTGGTTCTTTTGCATCGAAGCATTTCGTAACCGTAATGATACACATCTGTGGATAGAATATTCTATTATAAATACGAACGGGAGCTATACTAAGCATCACTTGAACGCAACTTTCTTATAGATCATAAGGGTCCGATTTAGCTTCACACGTGTCACAGCTTGCAACTTTAACTTGCGCATAATTATCTACTCGTATAACAACGTTGGCTATGTTTTTTTAAGAAAATCTAAAAATCATGGATTTTTAATGATTGCGTTAACATCTAGCAATCATTAAAAATCGAAGCTTGACCTTACCTTGTTAGTAGCGCAACCCAAAAGTCAATTGAAACTCACAATTTTATTGTGACAATAAGTTAGGTTTTTTGACGCAGATCGATTATCTCGCTTTTACTGTTTACCTGCCGCAAATTATTAATTGCTGAGCGTATGTTTCCTATATTAAAACGTATTTCAACCTCTAAATTCATGAGTCGCTGATGAAAAACTACTGACTTGGCGCGACTGTTGACCGAATTTCGTCTGCTAGCAATGCCTGGCTTAAGCGTTATAGTTCCAAACAAGTTGACAGTTGATTTTAGAACAATAGTGGGTATCGCTCGGTTTCTATTATCGTACTGTAAATTAGACCATACATCAATATTAGATGCTTCTTTTACTCTCACATAACTTACATGGTTCAAGCAGATAGTACATCCTATTTTCATGTTCACACCAGCCTGACCCTTACTTATTATATACATATAAGGAACAAACTGGTAAAAAGCAATAGGTGACGATGAAGCGTCGATCTCCGAACTTAACTGCTTCTATCAGGGGTAAAATGTTTGTGTGGCTATTGATTAGGTGGGGTGGGGGGGCTAATAAAACAAATAAAAACATTTGCTGCTTACTATGTTTTAGCAGTTTATGCTGCATCGAGGACACTTTATGCCAATAACATATAATTAGTGCGATTTGTATTTGGATTATTTCGATTTATCCTACGACATATACGTTGTGAAAAGGTAAAGGCTATGTGGTTGCTGCAATGACGCTCGCCCAAAAAAATAGTTTTATTTTGTCTTGCGTTTAGATAACTTCGATCTAAGTTTAGTTCTATCCCAGTATCTAGCTCGCAGGCCTCAATCCAGGCCCATGATAAAATCTTCAAAATGTTAATGTTCGCGTTCCGGCAGGACCAGCAGATATATTCCACAGTTATTGAAGTTACGTACCGAAACAACAAATTGAAGACGCGTTTATTTTGGACGAGAAGCATAGGCCAACCGCCTTGCGTAAATATAACTCTATTTTCGTACATACATATGTCTCTATTAGAGATTTTACATATGTTGAAATGTTTATATGGCACTAGTCCTGTACAAATATGTACATAGTCAGGTTTTCATTCGATGAAGCTCACTCATTCATTAATATCGAAAGTCGCCGATTATTTTTATCGATCCTGCGATCCGGCCAAGATCGATTTCGCTGTTGAATGAAATTTGTTCACAGGCACCTATCTACGCGTTGTATTAGAAAAAGGTTTATTTATACGACAGCTTCTTCTTCGTCCTGTTCGGTAATGTCAAAACGATCTCATTGTCTAAGATACCGTCCGACAACAATCTAATTACGAGCTAGTCGGGTAAAAACGTATATGACGTATAAATATATATTACAGCAAAAAGTTCACCACAGGCTAACAGTTCAATCAATTTTTCAACTAACGGAACGCCGTGCATATAAGATTTCATCAATTACAGTTAAGTTTAATATGATCACGAAACTTAATCCGAAATATCATTGCATTTGACACAGTCCTGCATATTCGGGTTCCACTCCTCTACTTGTACAGTGACCTCAAAGAAAGCATATTTATCTCGGAGTTTTCTCACGCACTCCTTTTGTACTCGGTGATAGTCCGTCGTGCCTACTTCGATGCCGACATGAGTGCTCAGCACAGTCTTCTCCATAGTAAGCGCCCAGATTCGAAGGTTGTGCACATGTTTTACACCTCGTACTTCCGTGAGGAGTTCACGTACTTCGCCGAAATCGATTCCTTTTGGCTTGCCCTCCATCAGCACCATGATCGTTTCCTTCAAAATGGTTATCGTCGTAAATAACACAAGTACCGAAAACAGAAATGTGCAGATTGGGTCGACGATGCTGTATTCTGGCCAGAAATGGATAATTAGCGCGGCTACAAAGACCCCCAGCGACTGAAGGAAATCGCCGATCACATGAATGAGTGCAGCGCGCACATTGATATTGGAATTGGCATCCTGTTCATGTGAATGACCATATTTTGTGTCCACTACACGGCCTTGTTCTAAGTCATCATCTGCATGCTTTCCGCCGTCGTGGGTGTGCGCTCCGCTTGTACCGCCATGTGAGTGCCCATGTGAAAGGCCCCCGTAGTGCAACGAACACCCCATGATGATATTGACGATAACGCCAATACCCGCCGATATTAGCATGACCAGCGAATCGATTTCATACTCCTTTTTCACAATACGCTCGACCGCTAAATAGACGAGAATTCCGGTCACGACCCAAATGAGCAGCACGGACGTGAGCGCGCCAATCACTTCGGCTCGGTGCCATCCGAAGCTCATGCGTTTCGACGCGGGTCGCGCCGAGATCCAAATGGCAAACAAACTGATCATAAACGATGCGAAATCGGTAAGTAGATGCGCGGCATCTGTGGCAATCGCCAATGAATTGGCTAGGACGCCTCCAACGCACTCAATCAGCATAAAAAGAAGACAGAGGATCGAGGCAATAATTAATTTTCGTTTGGCCGCTGCATTCGTACTGACCGACGTCTCGGCGTGACAGTGATCCGAACTTGACGAATCGCTTAGGTCTTGATACCGGCAGACAGTGTCCTTATGGTTGCAGTCACAGTCCTTTCGACCGTGGATGCATTTTGATGTCTCAATGGTGGAGTAATGCTGTCGCTTCTTTCGGCTCGTGCTACCATCCTCCGTTGTCAAAGGGGTCTCTTCAAAGTCGGAGAACTTGCCAGTTCTACCTGACGGTTTGACCATACTGCCGCTATTGATTTCCACTGAAATTTCACCGGGAAAAACGTAAAAACTGATCAGACATGGAACATTAGCAATAGCAAGTTATAGTCGTTTCTCTAGACGTTGCAGCGAACAAGAGAGCTATATGGTACTTGAAAGCCCTACTGAGTTTGGCCGTCTCGCCGTTGCGGCAAAGAAAAGATCCATCTACTTCCTGAAAGCTCTAATGAGTTTGGCCGTCTGGTCATTGTGGAAGAAGTGAGATTCATCTGGTATTTGCCTCAACGAGTTTGGCCGCCTGGCTATTATGTCAGAGAAAACGGCCATCTGGTGCTTGGAACTCCTTACGAGTTTGGCCCTTCAGTCGTTGTAGCAAAGAAGAAAGCCATCTAGTACCTGAAAGCCTGAACGAGTTTGGCCCTCTCGACGTTGTGGTAAAAAAAGCTATATGGTACTTGAAAGTCCTAATGAGTTTGGCCGTCTCGCCGTTGCGGCAAAGAAAAGACCCATCTAGTAGCTGAAAGTTCTAATGAGTTTATCCGTCTGATCGTTGTGGAAGAAGTGAGATTCATCTGGCATTTGCCTCAACGAGTTTTGCCGCCTGGCTATTATGGCAGAGAAAACCGCCATCTGGTGCTTGGAACTCCTTACAAGTTTGGCCCTTCAGTCGTTGTAGCAAAGAAGAAAGCCATCTAGTACCTGAAAGCCTGAACGAGTTTGGCTCTTTCGACGCCGTGGTGGAGAAAGCTATATGGTATTTGGAAGTTCTAATGAGTTTGGCCCTCTAGACGTTACGGCGAACAAGAGAGCTATATGGTACTTGAAAGCTCTAATGAGTTTGGCCGTCTGGTCGTTGTTGACGAAGTAAGATTCATCTGGTATTTACCTCAACGAGTTTGGCCGTCTGGCTGTTGTGGCAGGAAAAGATCTATCTAGTGCTTGACAGTCCCAGCGAGTTTGGCCGCCTGGCTATTATGGCAGAGAAAACCACCATCTGGTACTTGGAACTCCTTATGAGTTTGGCCCTACAGTCATTGTAGCAAAGAAGAAAGCCATCTAGTACTTGAAAGCCTCAACGAGTTTGGCCCTTTCGACGTTGTGGTGGAGAAAGCTATATGGTACTTGAAAGTTCTAATGAGTTTGGCTTTCTAGACGTTGCGGCGAACAAGAGAGCTATATCGTACTTGAAAGCCCTAATGATTTTTCCCGTCTGGCCGTTGCGGTAAATAAAAGATCCGTCTAGTACCTGAAAGCTCTAATAAGTTTGGCCGTCTGGTCGTTGTTGGAGAAGTGAGATTCATCTGGTATTTGCCTCAACGAGTTTGGCTGTCTGGCTGTTGTGGCAGAGAGAACAGCCACCTGGTATTTAGAACCCCTTCCGAGTTTGGCCCTTCAGTCGTTGTAGCAAAGAAGAAAACCATCTAGTACTTGAAAGCCTCAACGAGTTTGGCCCTTTCGACGTTGTGGTGGAGAAAGCTATATGGTACTTGGAAGTTCTAATGAGTTTTCCCGTCTGGCCGTTGCGGCAAAGAAAAGATCCATCTAGTACCTGAAAGCTATAATGAGTTTATCCGCCTGGTCGTTGTGGACGAAGTAAGATTCATCTGGTATTTGCCTCAACGAGTTTGGCCGTCTGGCTGTTGTGGCAGGAAAAGATCTATCTAGTGCTTGACAGTGCCAGCGAGTTTGGCCGTCTGGCTATTATGGCAGAGAAAACTGCCATCTGGTACTTGGAACTCCTTACGAGTTTGGCCCTTCAGTCATTGTAGCAAAGAAGAAAGCCATCTAGTACTTCCGAGCGTGAACGAATTTGGCCTTCTGGACGTTGTGGTGAAGAAAGCTATATGGTATTTGAAAGTTCTAATGGGTTTGGCGCTCTAGACGTTGCGGCGAACAAGAGAGCTATATGGTACTTGAAACCCCTAATGAGTTTAGCCGTCTCGCTGTTGCGGCAAAGGAAAGATCCATCTAGTACCTGACAGCTCTAATAAGATTGGCCATCTGGTCGTTGTTGAAGAAGTGAGATTCATCTGGTATTTGCCTCAACGAGTTTGGCCGTCTGGCTATTATGGCAGAGAAAATAGCCATCTGGTGTTTGGAACTCCTTACGAGTTTGGCCCTTCAGTCGTTGTAGCAAAGAAGAAAGCCATCTGGTGTTTGGAACTCCTTACGAGTTTGGCCCTTCAGTCGTTTAGCAAAGAAGAAAGCCATCTAGTACCTGAAAGCCTGAACGAGTTTGGCTCTTTCGACGCCGTGGTGGAGAAAGCTATATGGTATTTGGAAGTTCTAATGAGTTTGGCCCTCTAGACGTTGCGGCGAACAAGAGAGCTATATGGTACTTGAAAGCCCTAATGAGTTTAGCCGTCTCGCTGTTGCGGCAAAGAAAAGATCCATCCAGTACCTGACAGCTCTAATAAGTTTGGCCATCTGGTCGTTGTTGAAGAAGTGAGATTCATCTGGTATTTGCCTCAACGAGTTTGGCCGTCTGGCTATTATGGCAGAGAAAACAGCCATCTGGTGTTTGGAACTCCTTACGAGTTTGGCCCTTCAGTCGTTGTAGCAAAGAAGAAAGCCATCTGGTGTTTGGAACTCCTTACGAGTTTGGCCCTTCAGTCGTTTAGCAAAGAAGAAAGCCATCTAGTACCTGAAAGCCTGAACGAGTTTGGCTCTTTCGACGCCGTGGTGGAGAAAGCTATATGGTATTTGGAAGTTCTAATGAGTTTGGCCCTCTAGACGTTACGGCGAACAAGAGAGCTATATGGTACTTGAAAGCTCTAATGAGTTTGGCCGTCTGGTCGTTGCGACAAAGAAAAGATCCATCTAGTTCCTGAAAGCTATAATGAGTTTGGCCGTCTGGTCGTTGTTGAAGAAGTGAGATTCATCTGGTATTTGCCTCAACGAGTTTGGCCGTCTGGCTGTTGTGGCAGGAAAAGAGCTATCTAGTGCTTGACAGTCCTAACGAGTTTGGCCGTCTGGCTATTATGACAGAGAAAACAGCCATCTGGTGTTTGGAACTCCTTACGAGTTTGGCCCTTCAGTCGTTGTAGCAAAGAAGAAAGCCATCTAGTACCTGAAAGTTCTAATAAGTTTGGCCTTCTGGACGTTGCGGCGAACAAGAGAACTATATGGTACTTGATCATTCGGGACACTCATTAGGGATTTAGAGTACAGCTCTCTTCTTCGCCACGACGTCCAGAGGGCCAAACTCGTTCAGGCTTTCAGGTACTAAGATGGCTTTCTTCTTTGCTACAACGACCAGGGGGCCAAACCCGTAAGGAGTTCCAAGTACCAGATGGCTGTTTTCTCTGCCGTAATAGCCGTGCGGCCAAACTCGTTAGGACGTCAACACTAGATAGCTCTTTCCTGCCAGACGGCCAAACTCGTTGAGGCAAGTACCAGATGAATCTCACTTCTTCAACAACGACCAGACGGCCAAACTCATTAGAGCTTCAGGTACAGATGGATCTCTTCTTTGCCGCAACGGCCAGACGGCCAAACTCATTAGGGCTTTCAGGTACTAGATGGTTTTCTTCTTTGCTACAACGGCTAGGGGCCAAACTCGTAAGGAGTTCAAGTACCAGATGGCTGTTTCTTCTGTCATAATAGCCAGGCGGCAAACTCGTTGGGACTGTCAAGACTAGATAGCTCTTTTCCTGTCACAGACAGGCCAAACTCGTTAGGCTTTTAACCAGATGAATCTCACTCTTCCACAACGACCAAACGACAAACTCATTAAGCTCAGGTACAGATGGATCTCTTCTTTACCGCAACGGCCAGACGGCCAAACTCGTAAGAGTTCCAAGCACTAGATAGCTCTTTTTCCTGTCACAACAGCCAAACGGCCAAACTCGTTGAGGCAGTACCAGATGAATCTCACTTCTCCAACAACGACCAGACAGCCAAATCATTAGAGCTTCAGTACGAGATGGATCTCTTCTTTGCCGCAACGTCCAGGGGGCCAAACTCATTGGGACAGTCAAGCACTAGATAGCTCTTTCCTGTCACAACAGCCAGACGGCCAAACTCGTTGAGGCAAGTACCAGATGAATCTCACTTCTTCAACAACGACCAGACGGCCAAACTCAGAGATGGATCTCTTCTTTCCGCAATGGCCAGACGGCCAAACTCGTTCAGGCTTTCGGTACTACATGGCTTTCTTTTTTGCTACAACGACCAGGGGCCAAACTCGTAAGGAGTTCCAAGTACCAGATGGCTATTTTCTCTGTCATAATAGCCAG